TTTTGTTTCTCGGTTCCAGGGAAAATGATCTTAAAGTTTAAGTTTAAGCAAAGTATCTCTAAACACAACAGTAACTAGCTGCCGAATGAAAAATTAAAGATAAAACCTAGTAGGGGCATCAAAGACCTTCAAATGTTCATCTAAAGACTCTTTGGCTATTGAGTTGTATACAACAGGATCAGATTCTGTGCACAGATGGAGCCTCAATCTGCTCTCAAATCGATCCTCCGAGCCTGCAGGAAAACTGTCCCGTTTGCCCACATGGTTCAGCTCAATAAAGAGCTGGCGAATGTTATCGGATTGTTGGCTTTGAGCCTCCTGCCGGCAGATGGCCACGCTATACTGCAGACGAATAGAGCTGCTCATTTAAGAGCGCTGTTATTCGCTGAATGACCTCCTATGAAAGAGTTTCGTCCGCAATAAATCAAAAGTTGGATTATTTCGAAATATCGACATCCGGCCGAACTTTCCAGGTCCTGAATAATGCGTTTTGCGGACCGACGTGGCCACATCAAAGTGCCAAATCTCCGCTCTAAACTTTAAAGTATCGCAAGCTCTAACCGGAATTTATTGCGAGGTTGAGGCGAGCTTTATTGCAATAAACAGGCGGGCTGTTATGTAAATGGTATGTGCGGAAGGCTTTGCTTTGGTTGCATCGTTTTCTGCCAAAACATGGTTGAGCTGCACGATCTGGAGCCTTTGGCAGGTTTAATGATACACCCACATCCTCACCTGCAGCTGGCCAAGCTTAACTCCTTCCGGTGGATTTTTTCCTGCAAAAAGGAAAAGTTTCAGTGATTATTAGCAAAGCCTTCGCCCTACAGCTGCCGGACGAATTTCAGCGAAGCCACACAAATTGTTTAATGCATCTAAGGAAATGCGCCCTCTTTACCTCGGAAACTTTCGCCAATTTCGAATTAATTCCGCTTTTAAAGTCGCTCCAACTATGGAAAGTAGATTAAACTCGTCGACATCCGCCCCAAACATTTGGGAAGCGGCTTCAACTGCTTGAGCCTGGCAAAAGCCTGGCAATTTCCACGTTTTTCAGTCGGTGCGATTAGTTGGGCATTTTTCACCACGATGGAAACTTTCCGCCCTTAAAATCTATTCAATGGGTTTGCTTGACGTGCAAAAGACATTGTCTGGACGTTACTTTTGATCAAATTGCATTTGAAATGAATTTCCGGATTTAATTTTCCTTTGCGTCCCACGCACGTTGTTTAACAGTGCAACGAATGGCAAGGAACTTTGAAGATGCAAATGATGTTCCAGAATCATACTTGATCGAAAAACGCCTAATTTCATAAGTGAAGTGTTCATTTGCCGATCGAAGAACGTTAAATGAACGTTGCAAGCAGCTGCAAACATCTTTTTTTGCGTTAAGCATCCTAGTGGCAAATTGCGTCTGATTTCAATGTCCCATGGACGTTTTTTTAGGTACTACGGCAGTCGTGGCGTTTTCTATGTTGTTTCTGGTCTAATTTTGCAAAAATCGATTGCAAACGTTGATAAACCGACGTTCAAAGAACGGCAAATGGTGTATTAAGGAGTATTTTACGTCCTATTTATGTAACATGATTGTTTCTCTAAAGTGGGTTTCTAAGTCGCTCTGTATTATTTCCGTTTTTGTTCGATATTATTATATTCTA